GGGCAAGTTGGTTTTCACAGTGGAAGTTTGACGTGAAACACATCAAAGGAAAATACAATTTTCTCCCCGACTTCCTATCCAGAACACAAAGGCAAATTTCAGCTGTCATACCAATGATATACACTCTCACTCCAACTGAAGAGTCTCTGAGGAACATGATTGCAAAGATGCCACAAGGAATACAAGAAAAGATCCTAGAAACTACTCTAGTCTATCAAGGATGTGAGAAGCTCCATGGGTTCTTGAAGCTCTATGTCTACAGATATGGTTTAGACCAAGGGCCACTCCTCCAGCTACCTTATCATCCGGTATTCCCTTTCCTCACTACCATAAATTTAAACCCAACTCATTATGGTAAATTTCCGCAAGAAGCGTATTTCCTGTTATGGTACCTAGCGGAACTGTACACCATTGGAGTACTCGTAGACAAAAGCAAACTACTTCAGTATCTGGCAAAGTGCGTTCTGACAAGAAGGAAAGAGCACTACAAGTTATTGTACAGGTGGCTCACATTGTTCCACGATGTGACATGGTAGCAAGAGAATATTCGAGCAAAAGAAGGATACAAAGTCTTAGTCACCTTCAACATCATCATCACAAAGCAAGAATAACAAGAAGACGGAGTCATAATTCAAAGGGTATACAAAGCCCAGATCCAGACAAGCTATAATGATGATCTTTTTGATGGGGACAATTTTCACATAAAGACAAGAAACCTGGCAGCGATAAATCACATTGAAGAATCTGAAATTAACCCACAGTTATTTTGTCCTCACACTGCAAACTGGTACAACAGGGATGTAATAATAAAAGTAAAGCATCATAATCCACATGTTGAATAAGAAAAGAATAAAATATTTATGCATGAGGTAGTTAGGTATCCACATGCTAAAATAGCTCTAAGTTAGGTATCCATGTGTGTAATAAGTTTAAGTTAGGTATCTCTTGTTTAAGTTAGGTGCTTGCATAAACCAAGCTAAATCCTATAATCGAATCGAAGAGAAAACCTCAAATGTCTTTGTAATTTGTGAGTGTTCCATATAAATAAAATATCCCTTTGTATCATCATCTCTTCCATACTTTAATACCGTTTTTAATACTTTTGATCTTTATAAACCTACTATTTGTCTGTAATTTAACCCAAACGGGTCTTAAACTCTTGAGACATCAATTTATTCTTTTGTTTCTTTTTTATTTTACGAATCTTAATTGTCCGTTAGTGAAACGCCGTAAAAAAAACTGTAATTTTATACCAAAACAAATAACGTAAAAAACACACACACACAAAAACGAATTTTGCTGAAATATAGTAAAAGAAAACTTATGTAAAAAATAATAATAATAAATAAAAGAAAAATTCAGTCTTCGTCTTCATCATCGTGTATCACGAGCTCTTGCCTCTTCGTCTCTCTCAAAAGCCAATCTTCAATCTCTCTCTCTCAATCTCAATCTCCTGCAGCTTTCAGATCCTTTCTTCTTTCCTGATCCCAAAAACAAATTAAGGTTCTTTTTAAAATGTTTTTTTAGATATGTTAAAATTAGATATATTTATATTAGTATACATATAAATGAAGATATTAGCTGTCGTTGTGTCTTGCTTCTTCTTCACTCATAAAATCCTCCGCTTCAGTTTTCTTCTTGAGTCTTAAGTCTGTGTTGATTTGGAGAGTAATCTTTGTTTTCTGGTGATTTCTCAGATTGAGAGATTCTTAGCATTTCTTGGAATTTGTGGTTTTTCAAAGAGGAGAAAATGAATCGTAGGCAGCAAGTGAAGCGTAGAGTAGGTAAATATGAAGTGGGAAGAACAATTGGGGAAGGAACTTTTGCTAAAGTTAAGTTTGCTAGAAACTCTGAAACTGGAGAACCTGTGGCTCTCAAGATTCTTGATAAAGAGAAAGTCCTCAAGCACAAGATGGCTGAACAGGTCTAGTCTCTCTCTCTCTCTGTTTCGCATTGCGGCTTTATCGGTTTGATTTGACCAGGAAAGTAATCTTGCTTATACCTTCTTACAGATCAGAAGGGAGATAGCTACTATGAAGTTGATTAAACATCCAAATGTTGTTCAATTGTATGAGGTAACACTCCTTAGATAATTGTTTCTTTGATTTTAGCCTATCATATACCACTAGTTTTCCTTCAAGATTGCGCTGATTTCGCAGGTGATGGCGAGCAAGACGAAGATATTCATCATCTTGGAGTATGTTACAGGAGGAGAACTCTTTGATAAGATTGTAAGTTAGCATGTGTTTTATGGATGGTGTCACATTGTAAACATGAAATCTGATTCTGTAGCACGTGAAGGTAAATGACGGGCGTATGAAAGAAGACGAGGCAAGGAGATACTTCCAACAGCTTGTACATGCTGTGGACTACTGTCATAGCAGAGGTGTCTACCATCGAGACCTCAAGGTACACTCAAAGAAGTTAACTATGCACACGTTTTGTGTAACAATTGATTCACTGTTCTTGTGTTATGGTGGTATTTGCAGCCTGAGAATTTACTTTTAGATGCCTATGGGAACCTCAAGATCTCAGATTTTGGATTAAGTGCTTTGTCCCAACAAGTCAGGGTAATGACCGGCTCTACTGTTTATACTAAGAATTTACTGGTTTGGTTGTCGAAATTTTGTTTCTTGAACATGGTTTGTATGCTTTGGGGGCTTGCAGGATGATGGACTCCTTCATACATCTTGTGGAACTCCGAACTACGTTGCTCCTGAGGTCTGCCTAAGCAACATAATTTTGATTTTAGGCCTTTCTTGGATATTATAACCAATCTTTGATCTATGCGGTTTACAGGTTCTCAATGATAGAGGCTATGATGGAGCAACAGCCGATATGTGGTCATGCGGTGTTATACTTTATGTCCTGCTTGCAGGTTACTTGCCTTTTGATGACTCTAATCTAATGAATCTTTACAAGAAAGTGAGCAACTCTTTTTATGGAATCTCCCACCAATCCTTTTTTTTTTCAGGTTTTATGACTCCATTTTGACATTTTTTTCTCTTTGTGCAGATTTCATCTGGTGAATTCAACTGTCCTCCGTGGCTCTCACTTGGTGCCATGAAATTGATCACTCGTATCTTAGATCCAAACCCAATGACCGTAAGTAATTTAACATATTGCTATACTTGTTAAACAAAAGGCAATTTCTTGTCCACAACTATCGGGACCAAGAAACTCTGTTGCTAAGAGTTTGACATTGTATTCGTTATAAGACAAAAGAGACTACTAAATCCATGAGTGCGAGTAATGAGTACTATTTCTTCCTTTGTACCATAATTTATTGTAGTACTCAAATCATGTTTTCCATTTTATCCAGCACAAAAGGGCTGGAGAAAAAAGGTTGGAGAACATGTGTTATACATATTAAAATGTACAACTCTATCTGCTTCATCTTTCATTTTTGCACCTTTATGTTTTGTTTTGACAATCTCCGGCAACTAATCCTCGAGTAGTCGATGAAAGGACAGTAGCTGTGGTTAAACATACTGATCAAATAGACATTTATTTTGATTACCTGACAATGGGGATTCTCGACAACTATTGTTAGAGTTTTTTTTGCTTATGCAAGTTTGGACAAGAAACTGAGTTGACATGGTGTTGTGTGTCAGCGTGTAACACCACAAGAGGTCTTCGAAGATGAATGGTTCAAGAAAAATTACAAGCCTCCACTGTTCGAGGAGAAAGATGATTCAAACATGGACGATGTTGAAGCTGTTTTCAAGGACTCCGAGGTGAGAATAGTTTTTAGTTTTCTTTATTTTGTTTTAAGAATATCATATAATAACACATGTGATGATCATGTACAGGAACATCTTGTTACAGAGAAGAAAGAAGAGCAACCAGCGGCAATCAATGCCTTTGAGATCATCTCAATGTCAAGGGGGCTTAACCTGGAGAATCTGTTTGATCCAGAACAGGTTTGTGTTTTGTGGACAACTGTGTTCCTAAAAGAAAGCTGCATTCTTGTCTTTGTGTTCTGATAACAAAATATATTCTGAAAAAAAACTTAAAACAGGAGTTTAAGAGAGAAACAAGGATAACACTAAGAGGAGGCGCGAATGAGATCATCGACAAAATAGAAGAAGCTGCAAAGCCTCTTGGTTTTGATGTGCAAAAGAAGAACTACAAGGTTAGTGAAAACTCTAATAAGGAAATGAAATGAAAAAAAAAAAAAAGCAATAACTGAGAAGTTGGTATTACTTAAAATTCAGATGAGGCTTGAGAATGTGAAGGCTGGGAGAAAAGGGAATCTCAATGTGTCAACAGAGGTATATTAATTTAGTGACTGGACATTCAAGAAATGGTTAATGAGTTATTGATTCAGTGTATGTTTTATTTGTATGGTGTGACAAGCAGATATTCCAAGTAGCACCAAGTATTCATATGGTTCAAGTATCGAAGGCAAAAGGGGACACACTCGAATTCCATAAGGTAACTCCATCGTTTTGATTTGGATTAAGATAATAGATTTAGTACCGAGATAATGAGCTAAGCAGAGGTAATGGTGTGTTTGCAGTTCTATAAGAAGCTCTCTAATTCTCTGGAGAATGTAGTCTGGACGAACAACGAAGCTAAGAAAGAAACCGGAAAGTGATGTGTGAACGTTTGATCATTTGGGACAAGCTTGCTCTGTTTTGTTTATGAGCTTTTTGAGTTTTTGGTACTTTGTTAGGATGATGAGAGAAGGGGATTGGGATTGGTTTGTGTAAGAAAGGTGTATATATATGAACTTGCAATACCACTTATAAAGTCATTTAAGCTTGTTGGCTAAGTCTTTGAAGAGCATTATTTGCTCGAGATGATCTAATCTAATCAGTGTGCATTGATCTCACATAGGCTATTCCTATTGTACAAAAGTTCTCTTAGCTACCAATCTCGTCAAGGAAATTCAATAGCTAAGTAGACCTGTTTAAATGTTTAACTTCTCACGGCCCTTGAATGTAATATCAAGAGGGCTTGACTCTAATTGCTAATCCATATGTGATCAATATTTGGGTCAACCAAGGCAATTGTAGCTTCTTGACATGAGAAACACTATGCACCATTAGAATAACTAAGATCATCTTTGTAACTGGGTTTCATGATACAACAGTCGAGAGAATAATTAGAAAGCAGTAATGCCGATTTCCGGAAACAAAAACGAACCCCTTCTAATCTAGTAGACATATCAGAAGACTTCAAGTTCACTCCACTCACCTCCTTGCTTTGTTTGCTTTGAATATGTTTTCCTTGTAGTACTTAAGCTCCTTGATGCTTTCTCTTATATCATCCATGGCTCTGTGATTTTTTTTCTTTGCAGGAGCTTTGCTTTTATCTGTTGACCCATAAACACATCCAAAAATCTGCCTATCAGTTTCGTTCTTCACTAGTCTGATTTCTCCTTTTATATATCATACAGACGAGATTTATTTTCAAGTTTTTATAGATGAAATGCAGTTTAAAGAGTTTCTTGAGTAATTTTACCTCTGGGGAACCATCGGATGCATAAAGCGTTGATACTACTGACATCTACAAGTACATGAGAGAAAAGGGCAGCCAAATCCGGCATGTATTTCTGTAAAATACACAGTTTGGTTCAGATCAAGATGTAAATGTTAAGCTTTAAATAGAATAGAGATCTCCAAATTCGAGCTACCTTTAAGAAAATGAGATCTACATAAACCGAGTTTCCAGCTAAAAGTGGATGTTCAGAACCAATATGCTTTGTTACAAATTCAATGACCTGCAAAACAAACCAGAATATAACATTTACCATCACCAAATTTTACTAAAAAGTTTGGCCAAATAAACAACAGGTCAACCCAATATCACAAGTTTGCAAAAGGATTGCTGGAGATATCCAAATACCTCTTGTTCAGCTTGCTTTTCACTTATCGTACTACTGAGCACTTTCTTCGTCAACCCTAAAGTGATTGTTCAGGTGTCAGATAGTCCAAATCCATGGGAAAACACACAGAAAATCTAGTACGACGAATATATGAGGAGAAACTTACCACTGGCTCCATGATGAGTTTGACACCAGTCATTCATTTTATCCAGACAGTCTTTCGTTTGATGAACTACTAAATCTGGACCCTAACAATAAAGAAACTTTTTCAACGATAAATCTAAATAAAGAAGATATACAATGAATCAACAAATTTATGGTGGAAGAACAAACGAGTCATCTGAAAAATGAGTGAAAGATCTTGCAAATTCCACTTAAAACAGTATTTATCATATCAACAATGTAATCCCACTTTCTTATCTCTTTTGCCATCAGGTCACAATGATTTTGAGACAACAATATTCCATTGATCAGAATTTAGCCTTCTCTTAGAAAGTTTCTCGACACGGTATACCATTTTTCTGGATTGAAAACAGTTTCAGCATTTGTTCAAGAGAATTAAAGGACACTTAACAGGTTTAGGAAGCTTTAGCAGAAATAAAGCTGCAAACAGAGTATTTTATAAAGGTAACTCAGAGAAGAATATACCTCTACTGATTTGGTTAATTTGCCATCAGTAATTATACATGCAATCTCCAATATCCTGTCAACCTCAACATTTAGACCTACATAATATAGTATGGATAAGAAAATGGATGATCGAAAACAAACTGAGATCTTTTTTACTTGTGATAAAACGAGTTGCGTTTTTCTAAAACATACAGGGAAACCTTCAGGAACAAATATCATATCATTGTTATGAGTTATGACAAACATACAGAAACAAAAACATGTGTATACGTCTTAACAAAAGAATGTAATTCTAATTGAAGAGACAAACAATGGATCGTATGAACATGACCTTGATGAAAAAAATGACAGGCTCAGAGATCAACAAGCACAGAAGAGCAGACATAATTTGGTACAAATCAAACTGAACAAATATAGTGTTCAAAATATATAAACATTTAAAAGGAGGAGAATTATAGAAGAGTAGAACACTAAACTAAGCTCATGAACAAGTTTTTAACATACCAGTCATTTCTAAGTCAATCCAGACGAGTGGTTGCTTGTAATATCCCACTTCAAGTGACCCATTTGCTCTTTCTCCTTGTTTCCCTGTAATAGCTTCACACATGAATCGATCACAAAATCAAATTACGGTCGCTACAACATACAATGCAATATGCAAACTCATGTATCAAAACCTAAACTGAAAGGCCAAATCATTCTTCAATTCTCTTAATCGATGGTTAATTAGTCAATAGATTAGTAAGACATCAATTGACTCCAGAGTTGGAAGTAATACGAAATCGGAAAGGCAGACAGGAATAAGAAAGCGTAAGTAGAAAAGAGAGAGATACCAGTGGAAGAAGGAGAAGCTATGGGAGCATCTTCATCGGCGAAAGCGAGGAGAGAAAAAGCATTGGAGAGCTTGTCCATTTTTGGTTTCCCTTTTTTTTTTTCAGTAAAAGAATTGGGACGAACGTAGTAAACCTAAAGTAATAAATATCCCTCGAGAAGAGAAAGAAAAGAAAATCGCTTAAAACAAAAAAAAAAAATTGCTTCCGCTGATATTAATTTTTCAATCTGAATTTTATTAAAAATCGTAAGAACTAGAAGTAAATTTTTTTGGAACAGGGCAGAAGAGCTCTCTTCTTTCTCTTTAGGCGATTGAAGAGGCGATTTAGGAGTGTTTTTTTGCTCCTCTCTCTCTTCTCTCTTCTCTCTTTCATTTTTTTTAGAGAGAGAGGAAGCTTTTTCTCTCTTACTCTTGATTATTTGATCAGAGTTTTTTTCCGTATATATCGGATTGTTAGTTTCCAACATTGATCGGATAATAAAGTTTCGGTTTTATCCGGATTAGTTAGTCTTTTCTCCTCTACGTTTGGTCCTCTATCAGTGTTTTTGAGGCGGTGGCGAACAGATTCGGTGGTTAGTATCAAACTTTTTTCTTTAACTTTTGGATCATCTTCTCTTAACTAGGAGATTCATCTCTCCTTAAGTCCCCTTTTAAGAGCCATGCATGGCAGGTGACATGTCTGGAGTCAAAGACGATCAGCGCTGCTTAATTGGAGATTTAAGTTTTTGGCAAATTCTAAATCGAGTCTAATTGGAGGAGGAATTAAGCGGTGAAAATCTACAATATTTGAAGAGTTTGAGTTTACTATCAACCTACTATAGAATCTCGATTACCACGCATGATCTGGCAGCTTCCATCAAGCTTCTTTCGGTGGATTTAGGTTCAAAATTCATCCAGAAAAGTTTATTAGAACCGGCAGATTCGGATAGCGGTAATTTTCCTGTCACCTTCAGTTGTGGCACATGTGTTGACACGTGGAACCCATGCAATTCTTCTTTATCTTTTATCTTTTGTAATTGGGTTTTATGTTGGGCTAAATTGTATAATGGGGTGTTGGACCAAATATTGTAATCACTTTACCCATTTCGGGCTGAAATGAAATAAAATGGACAACAAAAAAAAAAAAAATTCGAACAACTCAATCTATCAACAAACGGTTTTAGCTGTATTACTCGACAACCAAAAAAAAAGAAGCTGTATTACTCTTAACAATAGACATTTTTTTTTATGTGTAACATCTTAATTATTGGTATTTAGTAATATAATATATGTAGAGAAGTTTAGAAAAATTGATGTGATTACTCATGTTATTTAAATACATTTATTTTTTTCAGTTATGTGTTTAGAGAAAATATAAAGTTAGATGTGCTTGAGTAGAAGCAATTTTTTGTATTAAATCACATTTTTCACTCTATTTAGTTGTGTTAAATCCAACACAACTTAATAGAGTCATTATATGAGATTTTCAAGGTAAAAAATGTTAAAAAATCTTTTAAACTTTTTAAATAGCACACCAGCCATCAAACGAGGATGTGATCCATGGCCGGAGAGGACATAGGCCCACAGAACGTTATAGAAACTACGACAAACGATTCTTTTTTAGTTAAAAAACTTACTTGAATTAATAAAATGTTAAAGATATATGGAACCAAAAGGAACCAGTTGAAGCACTATACAGAGCGTCCAACAGAACATATAAAGGGAAATTAAATGAGGATCATCTATCACAATAATCCCACCCAAGATCACAGCCAACAGGTGAAAGCCACCAAACAAAGGTAAAGCTGGGAGAGAGCTAGTTTGCAGACCAACAAAGAGTGAGACGGTCACCAAAATTTGATCCACGGTTACGCAGGGCCAGAGCCTTTAGTCTAACCACCGATAAAATCTTCTGAAAAAGTTGGCGAGGGTTGAGAGAAGTACCATGGTGGAATCGGCGGTTATGCTCTAGCCAGTCTATCTACTAGATCTCATAGATAGACGCTTGCCAACCCTGAATGACCGCGAAAGATAGGTCTGAAGACGAGGCAATTGGGAGCCAAGCAATGGATGCATTCCAAGAATTTGGACTTGGATTCAGAGAAAGCAGTGAGGTAACGAGATGCCAGACCTCCGAGGAGTAACTGCATTAAAAAAACAAGTGGTCTCTGGACTCATCAGAGGAACCGCATAGGAAGCAAGTTGTTTCCACATCAAGACCCCATGAAGAAACCCGATCTAAGGTTGGGTTCCTATTTAGGATGAAGAGCCATGTTACGAACGTTTAGGGATCCTGACCTTATTCCAAACCAAAGGAAGCCACGGAACCGGAGGTTTTCAGGCTCTAATAAAATTTCACACCTCCTTAGAGGAGAACCTCAACTGCTTTTTACCATTTACCTTCCACATAGGGGAATCACTCCTGGATGATGTCTGAATTTGAGTGATAAACGAGTAAAGCTTGAATTGAGAGTCCGATCGAGCCGCAGGAAGAATCCAGCCATCAGGGGTGATATGATTCTCGACCAAAGCGTTAATCGGAATACCCAGACGGGAAGGGCCTTGAAGTCCTAAATAGCTGATGAGAGATTCAAAAGGGGTCCAAGGATCCCACCAGAAGTTTGAGTCCTCTCCATTTCCAATATCGATACTCAGAAATGACAATGATTTCTGTCTCAAGTTCAAGAGTTTGCGAAACATCCAAGAATATGCTTGACTCTTTGAATTGAGTGACCAGAAACTCGCATTGGAGAGGTAGTTCCTGCACGTCCAAGCAACCCAGATGGAGCCTCCCCTGAAAAAGAGCATCCAGATAAGCTTGAGGCCACAAGTTTCATTCCAGGAAATAAAATTCCGAATTCCCAGACCGCCTTTACTCTTTGGATGGGTTTCATCATAATTGGCACAAGAAAATCATATAAGTTTATAAACTATTCTACTTAAATTACCTTGGAAATCTCAGAAGTTTGACTCTATTAAGTTGTATTAAATTACATTTTTGACTCTATTAAATTGTGTTAAATCACATTTTTGGGAAATCAAACTCTATATTTTGTATTACAGAAACATTAATAAACACTTTGATAGCCATTAGTATGCCTATCAAGTATATTAGAGGATAATCAAGCGTAAGGCACATTGCCTTTTTGGGGATGTTCAAAAAAAGAAAAAAAAACTAATCCAATTAGTAAAAAACACATGGGATGGGCTAGGTAAGTTAGGATCATTAGAAGTTTGGTTAATGGCATTAAGTGGCTATTTTTTATATATCCAAATGGTTAGAAAATTTTAATCACTAGGTTAGAAATAGCTAATCTAGATCTAGTTTTACAGTAGATTAGTCTGTTTCAGTTAACCTATACTTTTGAATTAAGCTTGTTTGAGAATTCAGATGTATTAATTAATCAATTCTAGTCACAGCTTTCTCTCTCCTCGTTTTTTCTCTCTGCCTTCTCTCTCCCCTCCCCAAGTAAAAAGTAGATCTCGATCTATTTTCTTCCACCGTCCGGATTTTACTTCTCTTTCCTTCTCGTCTGTAGATCTGGGCCCTCTGTGCCAGTGCTGTGAAGATGGTGGTCTCCTCGGTTGGTCCTCACCATCCATTGACGGTGCAGATTTCAGCGGTGTTGTTGGACTTGCGGTGGAGGTGGGTCGTTCTCTCATGTAGTCGACATTCTGTCCTCTGTTTGCCTCGGTCTCCTCCGGCGGCTCTTCCCTTTCTACGGCTGGCATTTTTCTTCTTAGCGATGGTTCCTCCGGCATTTTTGTTTAAGGGTCTCCTAGTGGCAATGAGCACTCTGGCGTTAGTTGGTGGTGAGTAGGTGGCGGTTGACTCTCCCAACTTCGATCTCTAAAGTCTCTTTCCAGAGGCGGTGGAGTGGTGGCTGAATCGTTTGGAGCTTCTCGATCCTGGCGGTAGAGTTTTTGGATCTTGAGGACAGGTCTTTGCTCTCGCTTATGGGTTACGACGGCAGGTCTAGCCTTGTGGCAAGCCTCAGAGTAGTGGCTCTCGTATCTCCGGCAGGTGTGGCTCCACTAGCGGTGTCTCTCAGCGGTGGCGCTGGATGGGTGGCTTGGCGGTTGCTTTGCTGGCTTGTTCTTGGCGTTTTTGCTCTGCCGCCGTCTTCAACATAGATGTGGCCTGAGTTTCCCAAAGGTGCGTGTTTCCGGCATTTTATGGTGCATTCGCGGTTGTGTTTTCAATTTTGGGTTGTGGTGGCTTTGGGTGTTGTCCAGTGTAGATGGTGGAGCATTACCGTACGTGATTGTTGAGGCGCCAGTTTGTTGTTACGGCTAGCTTGTAACTGTGGGGGCTGATTCTTGAGAAGATTCGTTTTTCTCAAGAATGGCGGTCAGAGGTGACTCTCTGATCACTACAAGAAAACATACGCTTTGCAATGGCTGATTTCGTAGCAAATTCCTCGCAAATCACCTATAGCGACGATTTTGCAACGAAACTCAAAATGTCGCAAATGACTCGTCGCAACCCAAAAAGCCTCACAAATTCGTCGCAAATTTTGCGATGGACTCAATTCGTCGCAAAATTGCGAGAGCACGATTACGACGCAAATTTTGCGAGGGATTCTAGGCGTCGCAAATATTGCGAGGATTTCGTTGTCGACGCTAAATATGCGAGGGAGTTAGGCGTTGCAAATTTTGCGACGGATTTTGGCTTGTCGCAAAATATGCGAGGAAACTAGGCGCTGCAAATTTTGCGAGAGATTTGCAGTCGTCGCAAATTTTGTGACGGGCCGACTGCGTCGCAAATGAGTGAGGAAATTGTGAGGCATAATACTTTGAAATTTGCAAGGAAATAGTGAGGTTTGCAAATTGCATCCTTGCATATGCGTCGCAAGTTTATAATTATTTTAATATTTTTTGCAAATATTTCATTTTTAATCAAATTTATATTGGAAACAAAATCCGAATAATAAATATTAAAATTACTATTTAAAATAAATAAAACATATATTTACAAACAAAATAAATACACTTAATATTCAAAATAAAATACATAATTGGTCTACTTAATATTCAAAATAAAATACATACTTGTTTTAAAGTAATTACAAAAGAAACTAAAATGTTTCCGATGGATTGGTTCCCGAAGATAGACCGGTTCCAGTTCTGGTTCCCGAAGATGGATCAGTTTCAGTTTCTGGACCAGTCCCGGTTCCCGGGATGTTATGAAGTAAAGATGCCAAAGCCGGATCCTTCTCGGCCAAATAGTCAAGAGCGACATCATAAGAGGTCATCTTTGCATTCTGCGTTGCTATCAATGTGGCCTGAGATGCAATGATCCGCTTCAGATGTACCGGATCATCTTCACTTCGAGATGAAGTCGGAGTAGTAGCAACATCAATCTTCGATTGCAGCGAACCAAGTCCATAAAATCTCCCCTTTTTACGAGGAGCGACCTAAGAAAACAAAAACATCTCTATATTATAGTTCAATAATATTTACTAAATCAAGAACAAGCTGATTGTTAACGAGTTCACCTCGAGCAAAATCTTGTTCTTCTCGGTCAGAGTAAGTTCACGAGAGCTCTCTGGATCATCACTATCAATTTGCTGAGACAACTCTTGTATCTTCAAGGTGTAGTCATTGTAAATCTTCTCAGAACGTCCATTGGTATTTTTCCGTCCCGTGTAATATGCAACTCACTTCTTACGCATATTTCAGCCAAGTCTAACCTTGATTTCATATTGTCTTTACTCTTTCCGTTTCCCTGCACATTCAAAATCGTATTCATGATGTTATCAAAAAAGTTTTTTTCGATGTGCATCACATCAAGGTTATGCCGTAACAAGAGATCTTTCCAGTATGGGAGTTCCCAAAAGATATTTTTCTTGTGCCAATTGTGAGAAACGGTATATCCGTCAGGCATGTTTGCCTTAGTGTGCCAATTGCCCCCACGTTGATATGTTTCTTAAGCACCATAATAATCAATCTGCTCAAACAAATCATTCCCTGAAAGATAGACCGGGGGTGGAACACGCACAATCTTGTTCTTCCTAAACAACTTCTTGTTCTTTCGGTACGGATGGTGCATGGAAAGAAAACGACGATGACAGTCAAACCAACATGGTTTTCTTCCATGCTTGAGCTGAAATGATTCTGTCTGATCAAGACAA